CATGCAACGCGGAGTTCGTCGTCGTCTCGGTTGGTCGGTCCATTTCCCATTTCCGGCATTAAACGTGCGGCATTGTGGAGTGGAGTGAATGCGCTGCAGTTGTTTGGCGCACAGTGGTAGTGAAGTGTGCAAATTGCTGGTAAAATTTTTATTTTTTCTTTAGATTTCTAATAAAATTTGAGCCTCAGGCCACACCACTCCATATGTTATCATTGGCTTGTCCATAATAGTATACATTCGTATGAGTATCCGAAGGCAGCAGCCCTACAAAATTTCGCAGCAAAAGGTTTGCATAGTATTAGTGTCCATATGGTTCTGGATGTCGTCATATCGAAGTACATATTTATTTCATGGGAATTTGGTATCGAGCGTGATGCCCAAATATCTCACTTCAGAGGCAATATTGAGACCCACATTCGCAGACCATTTCTTTGTGATCTTTAGTGCACTTTCGATTATGTCACATCGGGTGTTGTCGAACTTCCCTCTTTCTGGTATGACTATGTCATCCGCGTAGTCTTATCATCGGGTTCCATTGTCTCATAGCGTTTACAGGAGCTCATCTAATACAAGGCTCCAAAGGACGGGTGACAATAGCCATTACCACGAACATTCTTTCGTACTGAACTACTCCCTACTGTAATCTCTGCTATTCTTGTTCGTTACCGTTCTTCTAAGTATACACCTAAGAAAAGATGGCGGAACACATCTTTTCTCTTGTGACAAGCTTCATTTGAGCAATTTTCAAAAGCTCCTTTTATATCGAGGAAGGCATAGAGAACAATCTAGATTTCTGTAGTTAGCTGATACAGGGCTGTCTGTGTGGATCTCCTTGTTGTGTAGGCATGTTGGCTACAGTGTAATGGTCTAACTGTCCGAGTGGCCCTTACCACAAAGCTTAATCCTAAAGTATTTACCTACTTTCTTCCTATCATGGAACGTTACCGGGGCTCTCCTCCACACTGCTGGGGGATGTAGGCTAGCGCAGGGCTAACCTTCCTCCATATCTCTACTAAGTGTGCGGAAACTAGATCCTCTCCCTGTTTTTATAAAGACGAATAAGTTCGATTCACACCTCGATGCTGGCTCGCGAGAAGATACCACTACCACAATCAGATGGGGTTGATCCGAATGTCCAAACATGAGTCCGGAAAGTGCATGGAGAGTAGAACGCGTACTCTTTCTATCTATTCCTCGTTGAGTCTTATCCGCTGCTAGGGCTTTATTTTTCTTCACTTCAATCTACGAATGGAATCACTGTTCAATTGCACCATGCAAGCTGACGCATAGTTGTTGTCCATTTCGCTTTGTCGCTGCTGCTGATATGTCTGATGTTAATTTGCATACACACATACACATATAACAAGTCAAAATACAGACGTCAATATACTCACACAAAAGCAAATGCATGGGCATGGTCAAATGCTAGCAACAAATCTGCGTCGGTTATTCTTGAAATGGTTATATGCAGTTTGTAAGCATGGCTGTATGTGTACATTTGTATACATACTACATGCATGCGCGTACCTTTTGCATGGAGCATTAGAAAAGGCATCGTACAATATGCTATGGTGACCAGCAACCACATCACCATCCTTCCATACGATAGTAAAGGAAGAAGCCAAAAACAATGAAGTGCTCGCTTACTAGCCACAATACAATGGCATTTTGCTTTTAGTGTAATTGACTTGGGGAACAAAAGCTACGATTCTCATCTGCTCTCTACATTTCTCAAAAATAGGCGACTGCGTACATATGTTTGTATGGGTATAAGCCAGTGTTGGGAAATGAAATTGTTTCTTTAGTATGCAATCTGTACAAAAACGGTACTTTTCGACTGTAAATTGTATCGACCAAGGCTATGGACTTTTTAATTTGCTCATATATTTTCTTAGTACACGCATACATAGATTCCCTTCAAGACCAATGATTTGATGGTATTCATGGGAAAGTTTATGTAGATACATTTACATATTTTACACTTGTAACATATATGTATGTGTATGCACATATTTTAAGGGTCACAAACAATTTTTTTAAGTCATTATCAGTGGATAAAAGAGACATTTTCTTTGAATTCAGTACTAAAACTTGACATTTTAATAGTATTTCCAGTGTTTATCAAAACTTTACGACACGCACATTTTGACAAGATCTCACGATTATCTTACAGTGATTTAATTTTAATTATTTGTTTATAAAAATTCAGTTTTAATAAAACCCGTATAAACCCAAGGTTCAATCTTTGCGCAACATTAAAAAATCAACAGACTTTCGTAAAAATTTCGAGCTGTTTAATTAGATCGTTTGGAAATACGTATTTAAAAAAGCTGCGACTTATCGTTGATTTATATATATATATATATTTTTTTTTTTTGATGAAGATAGAATAATATGGATGAAAATGACCGACATCCTCAAAAAAAATGCCACACATCAACGGTAAATCCAAGTACTTTAAACAGGCGCCTTATTATACCAAAACTGAATGAGCTAAAAAACTGCAAAATATAAAAAAAAATGAAATGGGTAGCTCGAAATTTTTACGGAAGTTTCTTGATTTTTTTGATGTTGTTCCAAGATTTAAACTAATTTTCATACATTTTTTGTTAAGGAATAAACCACAGGCGAGGCAAAAAAAGAATAAAAAAATTTCCCGCAGTTCATATTCAGAGTATTCTTCACAAAATTGTACTAAAAAGTACTGCGTAATAGGAAAGTATAATGTAAACGAAATTGTATCAAACAAGTACAATTGTACCAAAAATGCCAACACTGGTATAAGCTGCTTAGTGCCCTATGTTTTGAAGTGCTCACTTTACGGTGAATCTCATTGCAACTAAAATTTGTGAAATGCGAGAAGGTGAACCATTTTGATGACTCTGTAATGGACCGCGCCATTCCGGCACTTGGACGTATTGCATCCTGGCGGTCAAATGACCCTTGGGTGATACTATGAAAATATTTCCGTCGAAATTTCAAACGACTGAAAGCTAATAAACAGCCATTGGCAAATACTATAAATTCATGTTAATTTTTACGGTGTCACCATAAAGAACGTACTCATACTATCCCTGCAGTGAAATCTTATATATGCAACTATGCAGTTGCGATTAGATTAATTTGTTAGCCATTAGCATTGCTACTTTGAGATAACTCTACGAAAGTAAACTGCTAAGTTATGGCGAAACAGTTGCATGCCAAAAACTAAGTTTCTCAGGTGACAGATGCCAAGTCCGCTGTCTAGCAAAAGCTGGCAGTCCCTCATTTCACGTCTTCGTTCTCTATGCACCTGCGGAACTGAAGATCCGGGATGATATTTAGTCTCAGCTTGTGAGGTCCGTAGACTATCTTCGGTCCATTTTCTCCGGTGATTTTCGCTTAAAGTTCGTGGGGTTGGAACGAGGTCTATCTTTCCAAGAGTGGTCTACAATGAAGATAATGATTGTAAGGCATGGGGGCTACTAGAAATAGCATTTTGGATGTACCCAGTTTCTAACAGGTTAAGAGAGACTAAAAAAAAATAAATCATCACCAGTTACATATGAAAAATGTGTACATATGTATATATGTACACTAGACTGCATCACCAAAAAAAGTTGCGGTTTTTCCGCCGGGATTACAAAATTTATTATATTCTAAGCTGTCCACCAAAATATTTCGGAAAAATATTAAGATTTAAGTGAGCTGGACCGATTTGAAAATACCTCCAAAAATGTAGTTTTTTATGAATAAAAATAGCTTCTTGTTTTTTGTTATTTTTTGGCCTTTTACCAATTATATTCAACAATTTTATAATGAGCTCGAGGCCATTTTTTTAAATTTTTAAAAATAGTTTCTTAAAGAACTTTTTGAAAAACGTCCCCTCAGATGACAAAACAGATTAAGCTTAAAAAATCTGCATACAAATATTTAAAAATCTTTTAAACGGAATCGTAAGAATGAGATTTTTGATGCTGTTTTTTTTAGTTTTTTCAAAGATTGATTTACGAAAAACTTGAATAACTGGGCCAAAACTATTCTGATTTAGACTTGTGGGATCTCAGTTGAAAGGTATTTTCACACTGTTTTTATTTCTGTCCAAAAAAAAA